ATCGCTGTTTTTCACGAAATAAAATATTAGCCTTCGATGATCGTCTCATTGTTTAAGTAATCTTATGCACTCCTTTATTTACGAAATTTTTATCTTAAGTAATTTAGTTTATAGTTAACTCGAATAAAGTATTTTTAAGCTTTTGACTTTCGTTATACTATACTTTTTAAATTTTAGCTTTTCATATAATAGTTTTTAATTAATCGAGATATTAATTATATCGAAATATGAATTATGATTTAATTCGTATTTTAGTTTATAGTTAACTCGAATAAAGTATTTTCAAGCTTTTGATTTCCGTTACGCTAAACTTTTTAAATTTTTAATATAAAATTTAATTTAGTATAGTGATTTATTTAGTGTAATAGTGCTTAATAGTATATTAAGCTTTTAATATACTATTTTTTAATTATATTGAAATATGAATTATGATTTAATTTGTAATTAAAAGTCGAATTTTTGCTATTGTTATGTTATAGATTTCTGGTTTGCTGTAAGTCTTTAGATAGTGAATGCAATTTCTTTAAATTTTTACTCTTGGGTAATACAAGACAGGAAATTTTATTGCGGTGCATTAGCATCTAATATTTGCACCTCGATAGCCTAAACGATAAAATACCAATACTTTGAATGAACGAATAAAAAGTGCATGCTGGATATAAAACCCTCATTGTCATTCGTTCCTAGCATATTTCTCTCAAACTACTCTTGCTCGAATGGTAATGGATTCGAGTCATTGTTGCGCGAATTCTGTGTATATACCGGGAGACATGTGAAAATCGAACGATTTGCATTTTCCGCAGTCATTTAAATTTTTCACAGATATTTTCGCATATCGAGGAATTCGATCAATGAAATGTAAAAATATGTGATAAGAAAATTTTCTGTTTTAGTTATCAATTTATTTTAGCATATTTTTAATAAATTACAATATTTATAATAATTAATATTAATAAACAAAGGTATCGAAGAAAAGAAAATATTATAAAATAATACTATAAAGAAATATTACAAAAAGAAAGAATATTATTACAGAATATTTATATTTTTATTATTATAAATATTTTTATAACAAATGACTATCAACGCATTATATTTTTCATATTATATTTAAATTATATTTGTTTCCCTCAGAGTATGATTATTTCACGTTATCAACTTCGAACAGTTCGTTCGATGTTAGCAATGTTCTTTCTTCATTTTCATTCCTTCCATTGTGCATTGCCATTGCATGAATTTAAAAGAGCCATACCATTATCCCATTAAAGCGTATACACGTGCGTTTCAGTAAATGTTGCCAAAGGAATTACGTATGTCGCTTATGAAGCAGAGAAAAAGGTACTAGAAACAATAAATGAAGCAATGCATATATAATAACATCGAATATATCAATAAATATAATAATATGCACAAACAAAATTTAATTCCAAATAAAAATTCAATATTACCAAAAACATTACCTACCTCGTTGAAAAAAGGCAGAAAGGTATCTAAAAACAAAAAAATTATAATACTATATATACCTAAAAATAATTACATAAACAAAGAAAATTTAATTGATTTATATTTAAAATATGAATTTCGAAATTTCTGAAATATCACATTTTACAATTTTCTCCACTAAGAACAATTTTTCTTAAATCTTTTCTTTTGAATTTTTTATTTTATATTTCGATTATAGTTAACTTCTCATCAATCATCTAAAATCATTATAAAATACTAATTTCTATACCTATACCTAAAAGTAATTATATTTCTATACCTAAAAATAATTATATAAGCCTAAAGAAAATTATGTTGATTTATATTTAAAATATGAATTTCGAAATATCTGAAATATCACATATTACAATTTCCTCCACTAAAAACAATTTTTCATAAATCTTTTCTTATGAATCTTTTATTTTATATTTCTATTAAAATACTAATTTCTATAATTATTCTAAATGAAACACCTCCGACTTTATTCATTTCGATCGAACACCATCAAAAGCGTAATAACAGAGTGCAAGGACCTTGGCAAACGGAAATCGAAATCCGCGGGCACGGCCGTACACGTGGGTCGATCGAGGCGTTACGCAAGGCCATAGTTCTCGATCGTGATTCACGATCAATGATTGCCAGTGAACGCCCGCAATCGCCTTTCGCCGACAGATGCAAATGCGTGTCACAATTTTGCAACAAATTCTTCGTGTTCCACTAACCTCTACGCGTCAGAAACTGTCTGCAATATGACACGCGCGTAGGCGTCTCGCCACCTGGCGCTGCGATCGTTTCGACTGCCGCCATCTTTGTCCACGCATTCGATCACCTGAACGATATGATTTAGATTTTCCGAACGACGAGACGAATTTTCCTTACTTTCAATGATGGTATATACGAAGGAGTTTGGAAGGAATTTCGATGTCAATTTTATTTGATATAGCTTGCTGCAGTGCTTGGTGAAAGGGAGTTATTTGGTGCATGGAGAGTTTTAGAGTAATGTGTGTTTATTGCAAGACTTGATTACATGTCGGAAGCAGAATTTTAAATTTGGGTTTTGTTGAATGTAAATATTTATGTGGTACTGGGATTATTTTATTTAATCTTCGGAAATGTTGTAGATAATAATTGAAGAGAGTGATAGAAATTATTATTATTTTTGGAGATAATGATTATTTAAAATAATCTAATTTTTAGCAATTTTGTATTCCTTAATGTATACCTTCTTTTATATTCGAGATATTTTTCCATTATTAATTTTGAAAATCCTTAACTCATAAGATGTAATTCCTATTTTATTATCTAATTATCTATCATCTACTTTATCACCTATTTAATTTCTGTATTATTTCCTATATTTCTAGATCACGTTTCGAGATTTATCTTCTCCCGCAGGGGAAATTTTATGAAACCGAATTTCCCAAAATTTTGTACACATTTCCCATGTTTCCGTGTGACATTAGAATTTTAATACACCCTTAATACATCTTCCGCTTACACGAGAAAATAGACAAGTGCAACTTGCACGTATGCATGTCAGCTTTAACGCAACGCTTATTTTTTTCCCGAAAGGAGCATCGAGGTGTGCGGGAAGGTTTTATTCATAAAGCTGGATTTCCTTTTTACTGGGTGGGTACTTACGCTAAATAAGTTCGTTGTATACAGTAGCCATTTTCCCGGGGCAAATTTTCAACACCTTTTGAAGGCTTGCTTTTTCCGTAAGAGATCGCATTAACGAAACACGTTTCAGCGAACCCAATTTTCCGCCGGCGTACCATCCGCCCCTGCCTTCAAGGTCTCGGGAGATGGACTTTATTGTTTTGCAGGGAACTACGGCTAACGTTTCGAATGGTTTTTGCGCTAATCTCACGCCTTTCTTTCACGAGATCGCGTATCTCTTCCGGCGCAAACGTTCCAGCCCCCTATTTAGTCTCGTTTTAATCGCCATCGTTCCGGTTTTTTATTCCACGATATCCCTGCATCTGTTTTTACCCGGCCACTTAGCTCGATGTCGGCCATTGTAGCGTCTAAATAGAGTGTACAAAGTAATGGCCGATCCGCGGGATTGTTGAAACGATATAAAAGGTATTGGGAGACGCTTTAACGTATTTTGTCGGAGAAAATGGTATTTCAATTGGAAAGATTTTTTTTAATTTTTTTTGGCAACAGTCTCTTGGTTGAGAAATTGATCTTGGTTTTGGTTGGGAAATTTTATATTTAGTTGATACGATTTATGGCGATTTTTATAAAATATTTTATTAATCTTTTGGAGTGATTTCAATGAATTCAGTTCTCAAAAAAATTTGGTTGAGAAATAATGTGCGAGACATTTTGGATGTTTCAGGATATAATGACAAAGAAAGTGGTTTTTAAACGCGGAAAAAGAATTTTTGTCTTTTTAGAAAAATTTGAGATATTTATTTCGTAATTTTAATAATTATCGTTTGTAGAATATTATTTTTGGATTTTAATAAGATTCGATATATTAATATACATTTGAATTTCGTTGTGAGTGGGAAAATTTAGAATTGTTCTCAATATTCGTTACGATCTTTGTATTTTATTTTCTGGAACGATTGGTATTTATATTTTGGCGAAGAAAATTGTATTTGAATGGGAAATAGGAATTTAATGTTCAATCATTTCTGAAGTGATTGAAATTTAAAAAATCAGATTTACCTATTTTTCAGTTATTTAATTTAAAGTCATATAACAATACCAAATAAAAATACATAAAATGGTGAAAATTTATAACACATCCATTTTTCACATTAATATTCATTTCCTTATATCCACCAATTTTCAACTTAACAATCATCTCACTGCAACATTTGTTCCTCCTATCAAAAAATTAAAAATCTTTCTGTATTATTTAAGAAATATTTCACATTTCCTGATAGCAATCCCCAAATTAAATAAATCCAACTACAACGATACAAATGATGTCACGAAAGCAAGTACAAAAGAAATTTTTGTTCTTTTTCCTTAATTATAATTTATTATATGTCAACCCTATCGAGGGTTATGACACTTCTCTTATTATTTTTACGCTTTACTTATTGCCCTTCCCTTAATTTATGGGTGTTTATTATTATATGAGCGTTTATGGTTTTACATATTTTTACCAACGTTTAACTCTTTGCACTGGACGATTTTTTGGCTAAAGAAGAGTAGAAGTTCAAAGATTTTCTGTTATAAAATTGATGATATATTTTTGAGCAGTGAATAAGAAATCGTGTACTAATTAATACATGGAATTATTTGATTTCGATATTTCGCACACCGTTATAATATCTTAAATTTAACATATTGATTACTATCGATCTTCGAAATTTTATCAAATGGTGACTGAAGGGCGCCTCTCGAGTGCAAAGGGTTAATACCAAAATGGAGTTACTAAATAAGATGAAATGTAAAAAGACCTATGAGTCCTAGAATCTACTCGCAATTAGTCTTCGCCAGATGTTTAATCAGGTTTGCCAAACAAATGGAGCTAATGTGGAAACGTTTAATTGCAGATTACAATTGGTGATATTCGTCCTGTGCTGTGTGACGCGCGTCAACGCGGACTTTTTCGGCGAGAAGAAAGGTAAGTGTCAGTTCATTCAACGTTAATGGGCCGACTCGGGGGTTGGTGATTCAGAGATTCGAGGACCATTTGTCCCACTCTGCCCTTCCAGACGTCGTCTACCACGACGATCCGTGGTACAAAATCCTCAGGAGGGCTCTCCACTCGTCAAGGACTCCTCGAGAATATTCAGCGGGTTTTTTACCAATCTTTCTCGCGAACTTCCAACGTTATTCGTTTTACGTGAGCAACGATTCGTTACGAAGTTGTTTGCAAGCGGTCGTAACGAGTCGAGCAGATTTTTCTCTCGTTTTGCTTCAATTGTTCTACCCGTCTCGATAAGCCCTTGTTCTCTTGTTTTAATTTTGTCTCCTGGTATTTGGAGCAGTACTCTTCCAAAAGTGTGGAAAAATTATAAGATCAGATATTTTTGTTTGACTTTTTGTAATTTTCCTAGTATTTTCCTATTTGTTATTAAAATTGTTTACGATATTAAAAGATATCGAGGAAGAATAGTAAGATAATTTTAGTTTATTTCCTGTTATTTATTACAGTATTCTTTCTTTTGTATTTTTCCACGAAAAATTATCGTCGATATTAATGGACATTCAAAAAGAATAATGACAGTTACTTTGTGGTAACCTCGTGGATATTTTTTTTTAGACAGTAGGAATTTTGGCTATTTTTATAGACGATCTTTTATTAGTATAACTAACATTTTGACATAATTTTAAAATCAATGTGTTTCAAGGAACAGCTTAATCTAAAAATTGAGCTAGCAATTATTAATAATTCCATAGTGATAATTTGTAAAACATTTTACTATTACAAAAATAATGATTTTTATAACAGCTTAATTTAAAAATTAAGCCAGTAATTATTAATAATTCCCTAGTGATAATTTATAAAACATTTGCATTTTTATAATGACTTTTATAATAGTAAAATGTTTTATAAATTGTCATTATGGAATTATTAATAATTACTGTCTTAATTTTTAGATTAATATATAAATAAATTAATATAAAAATAATGATTTTGACTTTTACAATATTAAAATGTTTTATAAATTGTCACTATGAAATTATTAATAATTACTGGCTTAATTTTTAGATTAAACTGTTCCTTGAAACATATTGATTTTAAAATTGTCAAAATTTTAATTATGCTAATAAAAGATCGTCGTTCAAAATTCCTACTGTCTGAAAGGAAATATCCACGAGGTTAACACGAAGTAACTGAAATTAAATATAAATTATTTCACTTCCTAATTAAAGTGAGAAATAAATAATAAATCTCTTATGAAGAAAAGAGATTGATTACCAGAAAGAAAATAGTCAAAATTCCAATTAATTTAAACTACTTTCTTTTTATAATTGTGACTCATAAAACTTATACGTATTATATCAATATAATATTATTATATGTGTTATATACATATAATATTATTATATGTATTATATAAATATAATTGATTGATTACCAAAAAGAAAATAGTCAAAATTCCAATCAATTTAAACTAGTTTCTTTTTAAAATTGTGACTCATAAAACTTATACGTATATTATATATGTTATATATTAAAACAGACAAATAGGCCTGTATCTTCCCAGTCACTGCAATTTTTAATAAGATATAAAATTCCCAGAGCATACAGTATAAAATTCGTAATACATTATCGAAGCAAGTATTACGACCAAGTATAAAACTATCTCGTTTTAGAGCCGTGAAACAATTTTATGTCGAACGTTTAACTAATATCTTTCAAGTCACACCTGTGTAAATCGAAGCTACCTGCTAAGAGACATTTTAACACGCTGTGTCCCATGCAGGTACATAAAGAACAATGTTGAAATAGTATGAACACTTTGTTCGTCGTATTGATAGCCTCTTAAATTCAGTTATAGCTGGAATTTTTCTCCGTCCAATGTGGCAAGTGCAGTGATTCTTTCCGAACACGTGGACTTCTTTCTTATTTAAGCGAGGTCACTCTGAAAAACGGGTCGACCAGCCATTTTCCATGAACCACCTCGGCGAAATAGATGTAACACGAAGTTAGGGTTCTTCATTTTCAGATCCTATTCCTTCGTTTCTCTTCGTTCGTTTATTTTAAACTCGTCCATTTCAGATGCTTTCGTTACAAATCTAGTCCTAACAAGTCTTTTAGTTAATGGAAAGAATATTTCAAATTTTACTACTGAAAGTTTTGAAAGGAAGAATTTTGAAATTATATAAGGTAGATTTAAAATTATTGAAAGTATAGAATAATAATTTTAAAATATAATATCATTTTCTATTTTGAATTCTATTTACTGAATTCTCTCCCCTTCTCTTTATCTCTCTCCCACTCTCTCTCTCTGTTTTGAATTCTTAATATTTATAATTATATTTATATAAGTATAAGTATAAAGAAAATTATAAGTTACCTCAAAAATTTTGTGTTAATTAAAGAAAAACGTGTTGTTAATTCAATTACAATTTGATTATTTGTTTATTATTAGTTGTTTGATTATTCTATTTATTTATAATTAATTATACGTTAAGGTAGAAGAACTTATAAATTGCACATTCTCTGAAATGGCCATCACAGCAGAAGTTGTTAAATTAAAATTACCTTCTTTGCATAACTTCTATTCCTCGACGAAGTAATCCGACGTAGCAATTTTAGGAACAATTTACCATAACAATTTCATTAAGAAGAAGTACTAGGAATGGGTTCCTAGAAACCTTGAAGCCCAGGAGAGTTTCGAGTTTCGAGAATTCCAAGTTTCACGCTATTTTCGTGATTTAAAGTTAAAAACCACCACCGAGAAGTGCAACATTTTTGGAATCTTATAAAATTTCCAAATAATCGAGTTTCCGAAATTAGAAAATTACAGGTATCTATCTGAAAAGGTGGCCAAAATTATGTTATTCGTTTCAATGTAATTACAATTAGAAATAACATTGATATATTGAAAGAGAAAAAATTGTGGATATAGTTCGCTTTATTTAAACAATAATTTTAATTGTATTTTTCTGTTTGTTCATTATTAGGCAAATTGATAGGTGTAAAATTCTAATGAAAGAGCCAGAAGTTTAAAGGACACGAAAGTTGAAAACCACCATTGGGAAGTGCAAAATTTTGGGAATCTTATAAAATTTCTAAATAATAGAGTTTCTGAAATTAAAATATTACAGGTATCTGTCTGAAAGTTTCGATGTAATTACAATTAGAAATAACATCGATATACAGAAAGCGAAAGAATTGTAAAAATGGTTCGGTTTATTTAAACAATAATTTTAATTGTATTTATCTTTTTATTCATTATTAGGCAAATTAATGGGTGTGAAATTTTAATGAACGGGCTTGAAGTTTAAAGGACACGATTTTTCAGGAAGCATGATAAAATATTGGCAGTAATGTGAAGTAACTTTCGAAGAGGAATGCAAATTGCCAGGAAGGATTTAATAAAAATCTTGCTTGGACCCGTGATTACAAAGCCCTAATATCTTGAAATGGTTTTATGATCATCAGCATATCTTTATTTCCTCCTTTAAGAATTTCATAACCCAAAGAGTCGCTTCTCAGATTCAGCAGATATTTCATTCCGGCAAATCGTTTTTATACAGACTTTCATCTCATTTCTGGCGTTCCGTATTATTCTGATCAGTCGTTATAAAGTCGAGGAACGGTGGCTGAAGTCAAGTTGAAATTGCTGTGAAATAATCTGTCGATCATTTTGTTCTTAATTCTATGTTTCCTTCTCTGAGTGACGTATTGAAGAGAAAATTTGTATCCTTAATAATATTTTATTATTTTCCAATTATACATTGAGATGCGAGTATATAAATAATAAATCCTGTTAAGATTTTAACGAATTGGATATATTTTTATTACAAATCAAAGAATTTTATCAAGTTTCCCATTTTAATAAAAGTGTCTTATTTGAATTTCCTTTCTTTAAATTATGTCATGCAATATTTTTCCTCGTAACTATAAATACGTCTACAATTGAATTTTTGGTAGATTCTTGATAATAATTTTTCGAAATACAATCGATTTTTAATAATAAATAATAATAGTAAATAACTAAATATATGTGTGAATTTTCAATTGATTTTTGATAATAGTTTTCCAAACTAGAATCAACGTTCAATAATAAATATAATAAATATGGTAATTGTAATAATAAATATAATAATTCTATAATTCTATAATAAAATAATAATATATTATAATTCTATACGTATAATAATTCTCTTATTCCACAATAACATCTACTGATTCAAAGAAATTACTATGTTGGAAATTTGTAATTATAAGTCTCAAAATTATAGTGTGTACTTTAGCATTATCAAACGTTTCAAAAATAATCATCTCCTGGAAAGCCTTCTCCATCAAACTAAAATATATAAAAGAAAATAATACAACTTTATTCCATATAAAATTACACACAGTTTCACCTGACAGAGGAGACAATAAAAAATTTAAAAACGGAATTAAAAATGAGAAAAACATAATTTATTATCAAGATATTATTGGCAACCGTGGCTTCTATGATCTGTAAAATACTCCATAATATTTCCAAAATTTTATGGGGTCCAAAACTACACGAAGAATGCAAGAATAAATTTTGATTCGAAGTTATCTCGAGATCGAGAAGGATTCGCGTTTATACTTCATTTTCCAAGCGATCGCTGGCACATTGCAGAGGACACAGTTCCATGAAACTGTCTCGAAGACAATCCGAGGTCGATAACCCACGAACGTAAGAAGCAGCGCGTTATCCGGAAGCCCGAAAGACTCAGTCGCTCGGTGAGTTTCCGGTTCCCTTATCAGGAGCGGATGCAAAGAGGGCAGGTCGGCTGTGTGGCGGTGGGTACAGCGTAGGAGAACGGGTGGAAAGGGACGAATAGCTCCCGCAGGATGCGAGATAACTCTCATCCCCATAGCCTCATTTGTATCCGCCTCCCTTCTTCCGTTTTCCATGGTGAACGCTTGCTTTTTGCACCACTGCCTCGTCAATATTTAACGACGCG